GTTATTTGGTCTCCAGCGATATTTAGATAGAGCAGAGAGTATGTCGATTATTTGGTGGGCTGTTTTTGGCTGCCTTGGGGGGGCTTTTGTAAGTTGTTTTTTTTGGCGTTTTCTTATTTGTAGTGTTCGCTAAGTTCTAGAGGTTGCTTACGTACTGCTCAGTTACCTTCTTCTAGAGTTCGGTCTTATTTATTGCTGAAGTGAATTTCGTTTGTGCTTAAAAGAGCAAAATAAATCCATGCCTTAGTATTTGTAAGGTCTCATTTGTTTAGGCTGCAGCGCATGCTTTTTCCGACACTGTGCGTGAAATAGCTGCTTTTAGATTGTTGAGTTTCGGTAGATTTTGTTGCTGGCACAGATGTTTTTCCTTTGCTATGTGTAAAGAATTCAGCGCTTCAAAATCTGTGATGCTTGTTAGGTGATTGTGCCTGTATTACATGAGATTCTCTTTATTTGGCTAATAGTTCTCCTTCAATTACTAGTTTTTCAAACTACCATTGTCGTAGAACTTCAGCACTTTATTTGCACTATTTCGGGTATGTTCTGTATAGGTGCTCAAATTTGTATTTTGCAGCTTTAATTATCGCTTCGTCAACCACATATGTGGTATTGTACGTTTTTCGACTATAATACTCGTTATATTATTGGATATTTGCTTTGGCTTCGTTTTGTGCCTTTCATCATCTGCTCGATTAAATGGGTGGCTTTGAGACTAGTACACTTAGCTGTAGTTTTTATTTTGTGATGATGAACATATTGATCCATACCTTGTTCTTGGATGTCAGAAGAGGGTTGCTCCTCCCCAACACTGTTGTTGCTCATCAAATTTTTAGGTTGGAATTGTTCTCAGTTGCTTTTGTTGGTCCCCCTGAATGATAAAATCGGTTTCGTTGGTGCATTCATAGTTTTACTAATTTTATTCCAAAATTTCCAGTCATTGAGTGTGCTCAAAGTTGATTCTGTTCCTTTGCTAATTTTTCATCTTGTATTTGGGCATATTTACTTAACTAACTTTGATTTATCCTGCAAGTACGCCTTACTACAATGCACGCTTCATACAATGCTGGATTTGCTTCTCGTAACAAAATGTCACGGCAAGTTCTCCCTTTCAATTCACCTGCATTCACATGCGATCTCGCTTGTAATTCCTCTTCTCTGCTTACAGAAGAATGCCATCTTTGGCGTTGGATCCCCAAAGCCTTAAAGTCATTAGTCTGATTGTCTTGACTCTCCAAACTACTGCGCTGGTCCTTCTCATGAGGTACACGCGTCTTCCATCACCGACCAACTCCACCAGCGGCCTATACCTCACTTCTACTGCGGTATTCTGTGCCGAGGTGTGCAAAGTTGTGGTCTGTTTCTGTGTGATTTTTGTACAGAATGGCAGCTCCTTCAGTTCGACATACGCCGAATTGCAAAGTGAGCTCTTTTCTGCACCAATGGAACTGGTCAAATTGGGTGTCCCCGCAGGATTATACACCTTGCAGAACAATCTGCTTTATGTGGCCCTATCTAACCTCGATGCAGCCACGTATCAGATCACTTATCAATTGAAAATTCTCACGACGGCTGTATTTATGGTATTGATGTTGCGTAAACGGATTACAATCTCTCAGTGGATCGCTCTATTTATTCTCGTTATAGGTGTTTCTTTTGTTCAGGTATGCTACTCTCTTGACCAGTAAGTAATTTCTGCTGTGTTAAAATATCATTCGAACTATGAGTTACACTTTGCTTACATATACTTTTTGACAATGTAATGAGTCAGTTCTTTTCAAATGTTCTCCCTAGGTAGCGGAAATATTTGACTTTCATTGCGGCCGTAGTTCTCATAATTAATCAAACCCTTATTGCTCTGGTCGACGTGAATGGTGCCAAGTTCCGCCGCAGGGCAATCACATCTAAGGATTTAAACATTTATACACTTACATTTCTTCACTTTCCTAACCCTTGAACACCATTTAAAAGACGATTGGTATAGAAGATTGTATTTTTAGTAACAAAGAAAGCGTCCGTATGATTAGGCTTTACATATTACTTGGCGTAAGACTACCATTTGGGGTGGACTGGTAGACAACCAATTTGCTTGAAAAGTGCTAATTACGTATGAAATATGTGCTTGTGATGATTAGGTAGACATTTAGTCTTTTGGACCAGAAAATGGAAGGATTGGCAGGTACCATTGCCAATACTTGTTCAGACAATGATGTTACAAGAGGTCAATGTGATTATGGTTAATGAATAGCTTCTTTGTTGGCAGGTGGTGATGGCTGAGCTGGTTATAGCCAATTATAAATATAAAAGCATTGTACGTATGTTGTCGAAAAGTAAAGACGTATATCTTTCAAAGAGGTAGTATTCAAATGTCTGATTGATTGATTTGGCTAAGTAATTTTCTGCTTTATAAGACTCGAATAGGAGTACATGTCCTACATTTTCTTGCTCAGAATATATATTTCCATCAGTGTGATTTAACGCTTCATTTTTATGCCTCTATATTTACGTGTCTTTTTCATTATTTGGGTCTCAGAGGCTCCCTGCTATCCAACCCTTCGTCGTTGCAAATGAGGGAACGAAATAGTACAGATACAATGCAATCTCAGAATTTTCACTTCAGATCAGTTTTCCAGAAAGAGGCTTAATTCACGTATCCACTGTCTTAGTTTCAACTCATAGCCTAAATAGAGCACGTCTGGTCAATTGTCAAGGAACTGTTCAGTGGGCAAAAGGTACTTTTTCTCAATTATTTATTTTTCATTTAGCTGGCGCCATCTGCTAACATAAAGACTAAAACTCCCAACACATTGTCACATCATCAGAACACCCTACTCGGTCTCATGGCAGTAATTCTGGCAAGTCTTTCTAGCGGTTTTGCAGGAGTCTACTTTGAGAAACTCATGAAGTTCACCGCACCCTCCATTTGGATTCGCAATATTCAGCTCGGTGAGTCAATAGACTTGTGATGACAACTTAAATTGGGGTCCTTCATTATCTTTTTTTTGTAGCGCATATTCTCTTTTAATGCTTTTAACTCGGTCTCAACTATTCGACCATTTTCCATTTGGATGATGTAGCCGCGGTACTTGTAACGTTTTATCACTTTCTGTCTTACGACACCCACATCCGCAAATATGTGAAATCGTTGAATGGTACATCTTACGAAATTAGTGTGGTCTTTTCTGTTTTGTTGAGGAGAAACAGGAAATAGTTCCTCCGTTTGAAGCCACATCGTAATGACTGTCTCGTTGATGCTTCTAAAACAACGTTTCAGTTCCAGGAGCCGACAAAAAGGAGGAATATGGATAGCACTCAGTATACTTTTGATCACTCGCTTTCTTAGTTGTGCTTTGTACAAGAAGACGAAATACTTGCTAGAAATTTTCTCAATTTAGAAACGTAAGTCTACGTCTCTCTTCAATTATCGCATTTTGAATGTTGCAATATTTTGTATCATATCAGATAACTTCTTTGCGTTTTCTTGTTGTCAAACTTCCCACGCCAAAACTTGAGGTGATGTTGATGGCGTTATTTCATCTTGGAAGCATTAGCAATAACGCACACAAGGCAGCCTTATACTGCATTATATGTTTGTTATGTTTTATCAAATAGCAAAAAGTGAAATGAGATTATTGGTGCGAACAGAACGGTATCTTCCTTTTTTGCTATTTTAAAGTGCAACTTTTTTAAAGCGATTTTCTTTCGATTTAAAAGTAACGCCATTGGGACATTGAGTAATGTTGAATTTCTTTTAGAAAACAGCAGACTTTGGCGACACCTGTTTCTTTTTTTACTGTATAGCACAATTGCTTTTGAATAGGTTACGCAATTCACTGTTTTAGATCCAAGCAAGGCGGTAAATTTCAAGTTTTAACCCTATTATTGTTTGAGTGGTAGAGCTGTTTGCTGTGCTCTTATTGGTCAGCTCTATTAGCTTGTTTGTCGTAGATACTGTGAGTTGGCTTCAGATAGGCTGCGTTTAGTACGCTTGTTGAAGGTCCGTTGAATGACCTAGTTTTAGCTCGGTTTGATGTTCCACCTAGATTTTTCACTCTTCTACTTCCTTTATTTTGAATTTATCCACATTAACTTGCCACTTTTGTGACGTGGCATCACGACGGTTGCTTCATAATTAATTGACCACTGTTTTTGTTACTCTCTATGGTACAGCCAAAACACTTGAACATCAGACTTCATCTCCTTTACGATGAATTATATTGGC